ACCCAATTAAATAGCCTCAAAATACATAAGCAAATACTGATAAAACTACATGGAGAAATTAGCAAATTATGGTATATTCAGAAGTTATTGCCAATTCAAGAGATTCTGTTTAAAAAAAAAAACCAGAACTGCCCTATGCAAATGGTCAATATAATTAGTTGCTCTGGAGGAGATAAACCTATACTGGCTCACTATCATATAGTGGTATAGTATGTCAGAGAAGCCGGATACAGAATGCCAAAACATATCCAAAACTGGGATAAAATTTTAAAATATTAATAATCTACTCCATCTTGTAGATAAGTATCTTGGATGAAAGGTAATTTTTTAAAAATTTTATTTATTTTTGGCTGCGTTGGGTCTTTGTTGCTGCACGCAGACTTTCTCTAGTTACGGTGTGCGGGGGCTACTCTTCGTTGCAGTGCACGGGCTTCTCATTGCGGTGGCTTCTTGTTGCGGAACACGGGCTGTAGGTGTGCGGACTTCAGTAGTTGTGGGATACAGACTCAGTAGTTGTGGCTTGCAGGCTCTAGAGCTCAGAGTCAGTAGTTGTGGCGCACGGGTTTAGTTGCTCTGCAGCATGTGGGATCTTCCCGGACCAGGGCTCAAACCCATGTCCCCTGCATTGGCAGGTGGATTCTTAACCACTGTGCCACCAGGGAAGTCCTGAAAGGTAATTTTCAATAGCAGTTTAAATTACTAACCTGGAATACTGCCATAGCATCCTAACTGTATTCCTCATGTCTCTCACTCTTAATCTATCATTCAGGACTTCAGAAAGCATCCTGCTTTCTTTCATAACACTATTTATAATTGTGTGTTGATTTCTGTGCTCAATACTTTATTCTCTCCTATAAACTGTAAGTTCCATGAGGTCTAGGACCAAGTCTGGTTTTTTTCAATATCACATACCTAGCAGATACTTAATACACATGTCTGGCACATGGAAGGCATCCAATAAATGTTTCTTAATGAATATATTCATAGCGTTCAGAGCAAGTGAGCGATAAAGAAGTATAGCTCCTACCAGCTAACTAAAGGTTTACACTGCACCAGAAAATGATCATCAACTCTTGTTTCAAAACCGTGAAAAAAAATGACTGCACCATTAATTCAGTAATGGACAAAGGAAAAAACATTTCTCATTTTTTAAAATTCTCTGCCAGATTAAAATATATCTTTGAAGCACATTAGAATAAAAATATTGAGACACCTTCAACTGCCACAGCAGGAGAAAGCACTGGAGAGGATAGAGATATCGTATTTTAGCAAAGCTCTAATCCATTCTTTGACTCAAACTTAGTCCTTCAAAAAGAAACAGGTCTTAGTGAGTAAGCCAATCTATTTATAAGCTTTGTCGTGGCAGCCAAACAATCACAGTGACAATACAACTGTAATTTGGTAAGGTGACTCTATAATCTAAGATAATACAAAGAAAATTTTAAATTTTTATTCTTTCTTACTTCTGGAGGAAGTATTTATTTTTTATTAAAAATATAGGGAGAGAAAAAGAAAGAAAAGGAGAGTCAAGACAGCCTTAAATAAGATAGGGTCAACCAAGTTACATGAAGACAAAGTAAACTGAATTTTACACCAACTCACTCAGAAAGCTTTGGAACAGATAGATCAGTTTCACGTGCTATTCTTGGTTGGGAAAATCTTCCTAACTGTATACTTTATATAGAAAAAGATAGTTATTCTTCCATTCACAAACAAAAGGATATATGCTAAAGTAATGATTAAGTAACATTTACATATAAGAAGGGCAAAAGGATAGAGTGAGCATAAAATTTTAAGGAGGATAAAATCTCACATATTCTTCTTCAGCTTTTCTACTGGGAGCTATTTACAGATATAATGTTTCAGTGTGGAAGATATAAAATAGTGTGTGGCTATCTCTATATTTTTCTTATGATTTTGGTTAATATACTATAAGATACAAAATGTCAATATTGGAAATAGGATTTATTGACTACATCAACTCTTCACTTTTTTAAACAACTTCCATCCTCATTTTCACCTTCGTTTATATATGTTTATTTGTTCAGTTTAGGTTCAAAACTGAGCTTGTCAACTTCCCTCCAAAACCAGTTCTTACTTGGAATTTCTATGTTGTTGTTCATTCTCCAAGTTTAGAAACAGAGAGCCCATTTTGTATTTGTCCTAGTTTTGTGTGTGTGTGTGTGCATGTAATGAAACCTGTTCATGATGCTTTAAAATACTTCTTAAATCTAAAATCTATCTATACCATTTACTCAGCAATTCCTTTCTGCCAGAGTAAAATCAGAAATAAAGACAATTTGAGCAAAGACAGAAAATCTCTGGCACATATATCCATCAATGGCAAATGAATAGATTGTTATATCCATGAAAGGAAATGCTTTCATTTTTGCAAAGAATGTTTAATTGTGAAAATCCTTCTTAAATATATTGATTGATATACTGAAAAAGACTGAAAAGACATATAATAAAATATTAACTTTTTACATTTCTGTATTTTATCAATTTTCTACTATGGTATATATATATATATATATATATATATATATTTTTTTTTTTTTTTTTTTTTTTTGCCGTACGCAGACCTCTCACTGTCGCGGCCTCTCCCTTTGTGGAGCACAGGCTCCGGACGCGCAGGCTCAGCGGCCATGGCTCACGGGCACAGCCGCTCCGCGGCATGTGGGATCTTCCCGGACCGGACACGAACCCGTGTCCCCTGCCTCGGCAGGCGGACTCTCAACCACTGCGCCACCAGGGAACCCATGGTATATATTTTTTAATAAAGGGAAAAAGCAAGTTATTAGGAAGGCAAGGAATAAGAAAGACAGGGAGGGAGAAAGGGACAAGAGAAAGAAGGGAGAATCTCATCAATTTACTCCTTCCTCTCTATTCTTACTGGGACCACTAAAACTCAGTACCTGATCATGGCACCTCTGCATTGCTGTATGGCTCCAGCATCTCTTCCCCTGATCCCTCCATGTACTGCTGCCAGGCTGCTCTTCCTCTGATGAAGAATTCTACGGAATCCAAATTTCTTTGCCAAGAGTGGAATGAAATTCACACTCTCATATTCTGGTAGTGGAAATGTATACTGGCACAAGCTTTCAAAAGATTAAAGAAAATATATCAGTAACTTTTAAAATATTCATATATTTTGGACCAAGTTGTGTCCTTTCTAGTAATTCATTTTATGGAAAAAAAATCAGCTTTTTAAAAAATTATTCTCATGGTAGCGTTATATATTAGAAGAGAAAAAAATACAGCAACCTAAAAGTCAAAAGAAAAAAATAGCTGATTAACTTACAGCAAGACCACAAAATTTGGTATTACGTGGCCATAGAAAACATGTTTCTAAGAGATATGTAATGGCGTGGAAAAATGCTGAGAATGTAATGTTAAAAGTAAGTTATAAAACTGTATATATAGTATTGTATGTTTTAATTATAAAAGTAAGTATTTGCATAGGGACAAAACTAGAAGGAAGTATATACAGCAAAGTAGTTATCTCTGGGGGGTAGAATCATGGTACATTGTTCTTTTCTCTTTGTTTATGTTTATTTTCCACTTTGAAGAAGTACATCTACCTTGTTAACCTTGTCTTTTATGACCCACACCTTCAGTCAGATGGTCTCCTCATCATCCCTCCAAAATACCATGATCTTTCCCTTCTCCACACCTTTGCTTACATTGATCCTCCTACCTAGAATTCTCCTTTTTCTTCAAGAGAAAGTTTCAGTCTCTCCATCTCTATAAAGGCTTCCCTGCCTACATTGATCTTCAGCCATCACTTTTTTCTCTGGACCTTTGTCATTGCTCACTTAGTGGCATTATATGCCACTTATCAGGGGCATGAATTATCTCCTTTAATCCTCAAACCTCCCTAGGAGACTTACATTATTATATCCATTTCATTGATGAGTCTACTGTGTGATCCAGAGTGATCAGGTAGCTTGTACAATAGCACTGTTTCTTTACTCTTTAATTATTTCATGTCTTTACATGCTTTGTCTCTCCACCAAGATTATGAGCATTTTGTGTTCAAGGATCTTATTTTATGCAATACTACCTTACTTATCTGGTATCCAGCTTTTTCCATAATTGTACTTTCCAAACAATTGTTTGCTTTAAATATCAAACGGTATTTTGTGTTAATCACGTTTAGCCATTTTAACAATTCCCTGCCATCTTAAATTGTGTATTGTGAACATAATTAACTTTTTTTCTAACATGTGTTACCAGTATGAGTATCAGTTATGATACAGTGCTATAACATAGTGATGCTCTCAGAGAATATTAGGGTATAGAAGAATTTTCCCTTATCTCAAACATCAGCCACAGAATCCTAGTGTGTCTTAAATTAAGTATTAACAGGGAGACTCATGTGTCTGATTCTTTTTCTCTCCTCTCCCCCATTAAGATGGACAGATGAGCTCATTTTTACAAGTACAAGTATCATGTGTATGCATTTCCAGCTGTATCTGTCTGTTACTAAAAGGAACTTAGGACTGAAGCACTACAGCTGGGCTAACTAATCGAAATGATATTGAAAAATGAGCAATATAAAGAATGGATCAGATAAAAATCTGTTCTATTTCAAGAATCCTCATATAGGATTTATACTGCAAATTTCTAGTTAAACTCTAGATACATAGATAGATAGATAGAGGATAGATAAAGAATTATATATTATATACACTCAGACACACACTGCAAAGTTTACTGCTACTGAAGTCTACTCAGATTCATTTGTTTTAAGATAGACTCACAGAGTTTTCCAAACTTGGGCTATATACTTTATTATCAATTACATAAGGCCCTTTGGAAATATTCAATTAGTAGCTTCAATACTCAGATTCTAGGTTTTTCTTCAGAAAAGTCTGATTCTGATGATCTGGTTTGGGGCCTTAAAATATATTCTTTTTTAACAGGCCTTCTGGGTAATTCCAAGATCTCTCTCAAGAACTGGTGTTTTGGGGTAATCTAGTCTCTGAGACCCTACATATTAAAAAATGTCTTTTTTTTCCCTCCATGAACAGTATCTTGCACCTTTTCCCTCATTACACAAATGGTGGAAGCTTATAAGGCCCTGTTCTATGTGGTAACAATGAACACAGAAATCCCCTGTCCTCATGTTGCTCATATTCTAGTAGGAGGAAACCTACAATAAACAAATACACATGAAAGCAGATGATAGGTGCTAGGTAGGAAATAAAGAAGAATAAGGAAGATAGAGAATGACTGGGAGTTGGTGTAGGGGGTTGCCGTTTTATTAAAATACATGGAGTTAGAGAAGGTTTCCTTAATCAAACAGTAATTGAAGGAAGACCTGAAGGAAGGGAGGGAACCATGTGAGAATCTGGTAAAGTGAGTCCCAGGCTGACTGCAAGGAGGCCGTTGTGACTGAAGAGGTGTGAACAGGGGGGCGGGTCATAGATGAAGTAAGAGAAAAAGGGGAAGGCTGCTGAGATCAGAGCCACTTAAGGAGTCTGCGCATAGAAGTGGTGTGATCTGAGCAGTCTTAGAATCCTTCCAGCAGTTGTGTGGAGAGCAGACTCGTGAGTAGGCTACTGCAGTAATCCAGGTGAAAGGTCTGGGTGGCCTGGACCAGTTTGAGACAGAGGTTCACAGGTTGGTTTCTTTTTTCCTCTCATATGACTTGGATTACAATAATTTTATCACAGTCTTCTGTAGATGCTATATTTCACTGTCTTCTGGATTTCATGTTTCAAAGGAAAAGAACACGGCCAGTCTGACTCTTTTTACTTTTTTACATAACTTGTTCTTTCTGTTTGGAAGAGTGTAAGACTTTCCTGATTATCCTTGAACTAAGATTTCCAGTAAAGCAGGCTAAAGACATACTCAGCGGGGGTGCCAGAGGACAGAGCTGGATTGTCAAATCAGGTTCAGAAGAACCCAAAGCTGGGGACAGGAAAACTATTGGAAGCCCTGGACCTGAGCACATAGGCAAATGGGTTAGGGGTAGAAAGTCAGCTTTCAAATGAAGTCATTCCTGGGGCCTGCTTTACCTGCTGCAGGGTGGCTGCCCTTCCCCCACCAGCCTCAGCTCAAATCAATTAACCCTAGATCCCAGCCTGCAAGCTGGACTAACATCCTTGGTCCTATGTTTTTACTATCACTTTCCTTTGCCAACAAAACAGAAAACACAAAAATGTGGTCAGAATTATATTTGGAGATAATTTCATTGGCCACATATGTTGTCAACATTTAATTTCTATATGCCTACTTTCATCTCTATTCATAAGCATCTGTTCTAGATACTTACTTCACACTTAGATCTACGTATCTATTCACGTATATCTGTGGCCCTGAAAGAACTTGGATATATTTATTCAAATGTATAAGTAGAAATTCTGCTTTATTTAGATGCATTTCTTGATTTTTTTAATTTCCTATTTGGCTAAAAGCTGAGTTCATATCTATAAAAAGTTAGTCTCATTTTGGATGTAGGCAGGGAAGAGCCTTGAAGAAAGTATTTATGCCTTGGGCTATTTGGTGGGAGGAGGAAAGGGGATGAGCAGGGAAGCCTGATTGAATACAGGGTAAGTGAGACAAGGCTCCTCCATCTACTGTGGAGGGTGTGTTAGAGCAGAGGCTCCAGGAAAAATCAAGAAATGAGCAGGGTGGGGCTTCCCTGGTAGAGCAGCGGTTGAGAGTCCGCCTGCCGATGCAGGGGACACGGGTCCCCGTGAGCCATGGTCGCTGAGCCTGCGCGTCCGGAGCCTGTGCTCCGCAACGGGAGAGGCCACAACAGTGAGAGGCCCGCGTACCGCAAAAAACAAAAAAAAAGAACTGTAAGAAGAAATGAGCAGGTATGTAATAGGAGATCACTGCAGGAAAGCAAAGGATAACATTTGATAATGATCCACAAAAAGATAAATGTGCAACAAAGACAAATAAGTTCTTAATTTATTCTGTGTGTCCTTCCCTCCTCTGGCTCCTCAGGTTACTGGGATACATCCTGCTCCCATACTTTCCCTGTAGCCCAGTCACCACATTTTCTTTCCCATCCATTCTAAACACATCTTCATCTGCTATTTCTGTGTTTTCAGGTGAAGAAATACTTCAATGCATGTAATGTGCAGCCTAGATGGTGCATATGCAATTTTGGATGAAGCTAACTGACCAAGGGACACCAGGAGGGACACGGAAACCTAGAGAAGTAAGTGGGCAACATGCCCAGGGAGTGGACAGAAGACGAAAATGAACAAAATCCAAAGAACCACCTGGAGAACAGATGGGGAACAGGGACCAGAATGCTCTCCCCAGATGAAATGGAAACAGGAAGGCTGTCCAAAGATTTGAGGGACAGGGAGAGTGAGCAATGCAGAGGGAATAGTAACCAATGAACTCCTCTCCTAGAGAATGAATCTAAAGCAGGTCCAGGCAGAATGGGGAGCTTCTGTTTCAAGTTTATAATATGCTCAATGGGTTCTGCTGGGAAATCTCAAAGGATGACACCATTTTCAACCTTACAATACCCTTCTTCTTCAATGAGGGTATTTGTTTTTAAGAATACAAATACAATAGAGTATTCATGGTGGAGAGTTTTTGATGGTAAAATGGTATCCCAGAGGATATGTTCTGGTGCTGCATTGTCACCTTCTGCAGAACTTTCTCCCTCTCTCTTCATTCTTCATTAGGTTGGAATTGGGATAAAAGAGCAGAATGGGTCATAAGGTCCTGTTCCAAGTAATTAGAGAGTTTCTTCTTTTATCTAAAGGTGCCTTGTTAAAGTATATCAGTGTCAGCCAGGTTAATTGGAACTTTAATGCATAATTGATGTTAATTTATGGCCCTTTTTGTTCCAGGATGCTACTGCAGACCGTAAAGTCAGGATACAGTTTTCTTGTTATTAATTATATACAGAAAGCCAATATCCCCTTTGAGAAGAGACCCATGTCATCTGTAGCTTGTTACAGTGTGTCAGTCATAGGTCAATTTTACTGTGTAGGTCCTCCCTAAATTCCATATTACTCCATAATAACAATACATTAATCACAGTAAGTGAAAATTGGAGTTTTGAGCTAAGGCTCATGAGTACTGTATGTTAAAATGTTTAACATACAATGCTAAAGATGTATTATACCTCCATGGGCTCAATGTATTCCACAGGCCATGGAATCCTAGTTTCATTTTGGAAATCAGTACACCACCTTTAACCAAAAATGTTTCCATAAATATAAAGGCAATAATACTGCCATAACTGAGGCTGCCGTGAATATAGAATACCAAATGAAAACTATGAAATTAGAATTTTCCTGCAGAGTTTCCATTTCAAGTCTAATAATTCTTGTTAATCACTTTTTTTGGAGACAGAGGGAGAAAAATGGTATGTCCCAAATCCACTAAAAAGCTCTACTTCTTCCACTGTGAGAACTAATGCTAACTTAAGAATTCTGTAGACAGAAATACAAGATCATGCAAGAACTGTAAGCCACATAAACCCATATGTTGTCCAAAGGGCCATAATCAAAATCCTGAATTCGAAATTGAGAAAAGGGCTAAGTCCAGTATGTGAATTGCTTGACAAATAGCAGTCCTAGATTTGTTGATGGTTAAAACATGCTAAATTTGCCAACTTTGCCTAGTGACTCTACCATTTTGAAAGAGTGAAGAATGAGTGACTTCACATAAATCGAATGTACTGGGTTGTTTTCTGATATGTCACCATGTTTTGTTCAACTTAATGCTACCACCATGTGATCAGATATGACATAATATGAGAAACAGCAGGGGTGTTTCACAATGGAACATGACACAACATGATGTGTCAAGTTTCTTTTGAACCTTTCTTGGGATCCGATATCAGCCAAAAGGAGGTCATTTTAATTATCAGATGATTAATTAATTAGATAATTAATTGTCAGAGGTAGATGGATCCAAAGACAATGTGGTTCTTTACATGCATGTTTGTACACAGAGGGAAAAGTGACAATTTAAGGCATATCTACTAAATGAAAAACTAAAGTTTAAGGATTTCAATTATTTTTTTATTGAAGTAACATTCATAATAGCTACTATTTATTGTGTTATGTGAAGCATGCTCAGAAATAGAGAATCTTTCTTACCCTCAAAGGGCTGATATTCAAGTTGGAAACACAAAGCCTTGCCCCAAGAAACTGGACATTTAGAGAGTGCTTACTAAAAATATTTTTAAGTTAGTGAAGGAAAAATTCTAAGGCAACAAATAAAAAAATATGGACTATATTATACCATAGTACTTTGCCAATGTTTGCTTTTTTAGGGGAAGTTACCATATTCCAGAAACAAGGGTGACTGGCACAGCAATAGTTCTTTTAAAACATAGAATTGAAACTCCAGTATCAAACACTCAAATTTTGAGTTAGGTATAAACCAAAAAAATTAGGATCCTATGTGAAACTTCAATAAATCAGTGTTTTAAATTTATTTTATTTATTTATTTTTGGCTGTGTTGGGTCTCGTTGCTGCGTGCCAGCCCTCTCTAGTTGAGGCGAGCGGGGGCTACTCCTCGTTGCACTGCGCAGTCTTCTCATTGCAGCGGCTTCTCCCACCGCGGAGCACAGGCTCTAGGTGCACGGGCTTCAGCAGCTGTGGCACGCAGGCTCAGCAGCCGTGGCTCGCAGGCTCCAGAGCACAGGCTCAGCAGTTGTGGCGCATGGGCTTAGTTGCTCTGCGGCATGTGGGATCTTCCTGGACAAGGGCTCAAACCCATGTCCCCTGCATTGGCAGGTGGATTCCCAACCACTGAGCCACCAGGGAAGCCCAAATCAGTGTTTTAAAGTTACTGTCTACTTTTTACTTTTCTGCTGAAAGCAGAGATTCAGGACATAACAAACATTCAATTTTGTTACCAAACCAAACTTTGGTCCACTTGCCCAATGCACAGCAAAGCCAATCTACTGACACCAGGTTGTGGTGAAGCAAAGTGTAGCATTTATTGCAAGGTGACAAGCAAGGAGAAGGGGCAGCTAATGCTCAAAAGACCCGAACTTCCTAATGGTTTTTAGGGATGGGTTTTTAAAGACAAAGTGAGGATGAGGGTCATGGGGAATGTGATCAGTTCATGCAATCTTCTGATTGGTGTGTGGTGAGGTAACCAGGTGAGGTCACAGAGATTGATCACGTTATCAGTCTTCAGGCTCCAGCCAGTCTGGGGGCTACGTGCTCATGGTCATCATTCTCTGTCTGGTTGGGGTCTGGTTTCTGTAAAACAACTGAGGAATGTGCATTAGACTTTATCACCTTTAAAATGGAACTGAGAGTCCTTGAGGCTGATTTATTGTTTAAGTTATGGTTATTTCTCTGCCTGACTGACCTATCTTTATTTCTATATTCCTTAGCTTCTCCAGTCATCAACTGCTAGGGCCTGTTTCTTTCTCTCTCTACTCATGGAGGGCATAGAAGGCCACAGTATATTTCCACAGTCTTTTTCTTCATCACTGATAAGCAGGACACACACTGGGGTTCTGTCATGAGGAAGGCCTCTACATAGGTCTGCTCAGTTTCAGTTTCACATTTTTATCTAAGAAAGAATATCTTACCTATGGGACACCTAAGTTCCCATCTCTCTTGCTTCCAGGAAGAGCTAGAGAATCGTATAACCTTAATGTAAGAGGCTGCCAATATTGTGAGATCTGTTATACATGTTTTTATTTTTTTTATTGTTTTTGAACAATTAATGGCAATCAATACATCATGCAGAATCATTGTCAAATATATTTCTTAAGCACCTGTTTGCATGGGATTCTGTCCTAGGCATTATACAAAACAAAATAAGCATGTAGTTAATATCTGCAATTTAAGGTGTAAATTGCTTTTCATTATTCTAAATTAATAAGAACTTTTTGTTTAATTTCCACCCCCCCACACATTTGTAATTAGCTTCATTGACCTTTCTGGGCCTCAGTCTCCTCACCTGCAAAACAAGGATATACTACCCACTCACCGAGCCCAATGATTACCAACAACTTCTCTAAATCATGTGTGCTGTTTTTTTTAACCATACTATGTTAAAAATCAAAGATTATCAGAATGTTAGGAGGGTTTTTAGAAAAGAAAAGATCTGTAGTGTGCTCCAGTTGACTCAAAATACTAAGAGCTCCCAGGCCTTCATTTCCATATAACAGAAGCCATTGTAATTTATTGGCTTTTTAGAATGCTTTCCAAAACAGTATTATGCTTGATATCCTTTCCCTCGCACCCACTCCCAATCCATCAATAAGTTCTGAGTGTCCTATCTCCAAAACATACCTAGAATGTATGCATTCTCTCCATGTGTAGCACCACCTCCCTATCCAGGTCCTCATCATCTCCCACTGAGAATGACTGCAGTGGTCTCTTCAGGTCAGCATTGCCCATGCAGCCCATCCCCCACACTGCTGCAAGAGTGATGTGTTTTCAATAGATCTCAGTGGGTTGGTCCAAGCTCCTTCATTCTCAGTTGACCATTTTACTACTTATTTCACCAAGAAAATAGAAGCAAATTAAACAGAAATTCCACAGGGTTTTGCCACCATGTCTAGCCATAAACCTGTGTACACACTCAACCATTCTGCCTTCCTTCCCGTTACTCCAGATGAATTGTTTCTGTTGCTATCTAAAGACAACCCTTCCACTTGTCTTCTAGATCCCATTCCTTCTTACCTACTTGATGACATTGCACCAATTATTCTCTCCTCTCCAGTATCATCAGTTTTTCCTTCTCTATTGGATCATTTCCATTAACAAACAAACAGTATAATCTATCACACCATAAAAAAATTATCCCTAAACCTTACCCACGCACCTCCCTAAACCACTACTCCCTCCACATCGAACTTCTCCCCTGAACTTTAGATTCGTGTGTTCAACTCTCCATGTAACACCACCACATGGACGTCTAAAAGGCATCTCAAAGGTAACATACCCAAACTGAGCTCCTAATCTACCCCCATACCTATTCTTTTTCCAGTCTTCCTCATCTCAGTGAATGGTAACTCCATCCTTACAGCAGCTCAAATCAAAAATCTTGCCTCCTCTCTTTGTCTCATCAGCAAATCTCTCGCCATTTCACTGCACCTACTTCTGGACTTCTTTTCATCAACTGTACTGCTACTACCCTGGTCTAAGCTACCAACCTCTATTTTCTAAATTACTGCCATAGCCTTCTAATCAGCCTCCCTACTACTTTCATTCTGTCACCCTTCAATCTATTCTCAACACAGCAGGCAGAGTAATCCTTTAAATGTAAGGTAGATGATGCCTCTCCTCTGCTCAAAAATCTGCAATGACTCCCCATCTCATGAAGAGTGACATTCAGAGTCCTTATAATGGTGTAATGTTCCCTACATGACCTAAGCTTCAGCTACCTCTCTGACCTCATCACCTTTTATTCTCCTCTTTATGCATCTCACTCCAACTATACTCGTCTCCTAGTAATTCATAAACATGCCAAGAATGCTTCTGCCTCAGGATCTTTGCACTTGCTCTTCCCTCTGCATGGAAAATTCACCCTCTAAATATCCTCAAGACCCACCTTCTCACCTCCTTCAGGTCTTTGCCCAAATTCACCTCTCAGTGAGAACTTCACTGGTTCCCTGCATGAAATTGCACTTCCCCCAACCCCACAAAACAGACATTCTGTTTCTTCCTGCTCTGCTTTATTTTCCTCTACAGCAACTACATTATGTAACATACTCAATGTTAGCTTCACGAGAACAGGGAGATTTTTGTCTCTTTTTTTCACTACTGTACCCTCATGCCTAGAATAGTGCCTCAGAAAGTATTAAGGAAATGAGTGAAAGTTTGTTTTAAAAACTAAATGCCTAGTGTTGATGAAGGTACAGGGCAACACCTACTCTCATATTCTGCTGATTAAAATATAAATTTTAACAACTTTCTGGTGGCCAATTAGTAAGGATCCAAAATCCTAAAAACATAGATACTATTCAACTGAGCAACTATACTTTTATGATCGAACCAACAAAATTCTCACAGATATCTGGGGGGAAAGTTTGTATAAGAATGCTTATTGCAGGACTCTCTGCAACAGCAAAAAAATTGGAAACAATCATAAAGATCAAACAGAAGAGATTTGGTAGGATAAACTACAGTACAGTACACTTATACAATAGAATTTTATTCATCTAGTCTTGATTTGCTTTTAGAAGATTATATGATGATGTACAAAGCTGTTAACAATAGGTACAATATGATGAAATCAAATTTTGTGAAATAAAAATATATACAGAGAAAATGATTGAGAGTAGATATCTCTGTTTATCTCTGGATTATGGAATTATACATCATTTTATTTCCTTTTGTTTGTCTATATTTTCTTTCTCTTTTTTATTGAGGTATAGTTGCTTTACAATGTTGTATAAGTTTCTGGTATACAGCACAGTGATTCAGATATATATATATACATGTACATATATATATATCTTTTTCATATTCTTTTCCATTATGGTTTATTATAGGATATTGAATATAATTCCCTGTACAATACAGTAAGACCTTGCTGTTTACTATTTTATACATAGTAGTTTGTATCTGCTAATCTCAAGCTCCTTATTTATCCTTCTCACACCACCTTTCCCCCTTGGTAACCATAAGTTTGTTTTCTAAGTCTGTGAGTCTGTTTCTGTTTCATAAATAAGTTCATTTGTGTCATAGTTTAGATTCCACATATAAGTGATATCATATGGTATTTGTCTTTCTCTTTCTGACTTACTTCACTTAATATGATAGTCTCTAGGTCCATCCATGTTGCTGCAAATGGCATTATTTCATTCTTTTTTATGGCTGAGTAATATTCCGTTGTGTATATATACCACATCTTCTTTATCCATTCATCTGTTGATGGACATTTAGGTTGCTTCCATGTCTTGGCTATTTTAAATAGTGCTGCTATGAACATTGGAGATTGTTATCTTTTTGAATTAGAGTTTTCTCCAAATATATATGACCAGGAGTGGGATTGCTGGATCATATGGCAACTCTATTTTTAGTTTTTTGAGGAACCTCCATACTGTTTTCCATAGTGGCTGCACCAATTTACATTCCCACCAACAGTGTAGGAGGATTTGTTTTTCTGTATTTTCTTAACTGGCTGTAATGAATAGGTATCACTACTATAATAAGAAAATGACCTAGTGACAATAGTCAACATTTACTGAGAATTAACAATATGCCAAATACTTTATATATACCATCTCATTTAATTCTCAAAGAGACATTTTGAGGTATTGTCTTAGTCATTTTGGGCTGCTAGAACAAAAATAGCATAGACTGGATAGCTTATAAACAACAGAAATTTGTTTTTCACAATTCTGGAGTCTGGGATTTCCAAGAATAAGGCACAAATCTGGTGTCTAATGAGAGCCTGCTTAGTGTTTCATCAACATCTCACTGTGTTCTCACATGGCTGAAGGTGAGGAGGAGCTCTCTGGGGTCTCTTTTATAAGGACATGAATCCCATTCATGAGGGCTTCACCTTCATGAGTTCATCACCTCCCAAAGGCCCCACCTCCAAATACTTTCATATTAGGGTTTAATTCAACATATGAATTTGGAGTGATGTGATTTCAACATCACCCCTTAGTCTTCACTTAGTGTAAGCTGGGACAGAATATCACAAAAGATTACCATAAACATCTCAGGACCTACATAAGCACTTCTATGGTTAGGGCTAACAAATTAGGAGACTCCAGAATTACAACCATATAAATAGGATATGAAAAAGTGAAAAGTATTTTTAGTGTATCAACTAAAGGTTCACTTTTTTTGAGATCTTTATCATCACTGAGTAAGATAGCAAATGTGGGAAATAGATAAAAGACTCATGGAGGAACCAAGATGGCAGAGTAGAAGGACGTGCTCTCACTCCCTCTTGTGAGAACACCAGAATCACAACTAGCTGCTGAACAATCATTGACAGGAAGACACTGGGACTCACCAAAAAAGATACCCAACATCCAAAGACAAAGGAGAAGCCACAATGAGACGTTGGTGAATCAAAAAAAGATCTTGCTGTGGAGGGCAGACAGCAGAAGCAAGAAAAACTACAATCCTGCAGCCTGTGGAACAAAAACCACATGCACAGAAAGATAGACAAGATGAAAAGGCAGAGGGCTATGTATCAGATGAAGGAACAAGATAAAACCCCAGCAAAACAACTAAATGAAGTGGAGATAGGCAACCTTCCAGAAAAAGAATTCAGCATAATGATAATGAAGATGATCCAGGACCTCGGAAAAAGAATGGGGGCAAAGATCGAGAAGATTCAAGAAATGTTTAACAAAGACCTAGAAGAATTAAAGAACAAACAAACAGCAGTGAACAATACAATAACTGAAATGAAAACTACACTAGAAGGATTCAATAGCACAATAACTGAGGCAGAAGAATGGATTAGTGACCCGGAAGACAGAATGGTGGAATTCACTGCTGCAAAACAGAATAAAGAAAAAAGAATGAAAAGAAATGAAAACAGCCTAAGAGACCTCTGGGACAACATTAAATGCAACAATATTTGCATTTTAGGGGTCCCAGAAGGAAAAGAGAGAGAGAAAGGACCAGATAAAATATTTGAAGAGATTATAGTCGAAAACTTCCCTAACACGGGAAAGTAAATAGCCACCCAGGTCCAGGAAGCACAGAGAGTCCCATACAGGATAAACCCAAGGAGAAACATGCTGAGACACATAGTAATCAATTTGGCAAAAATTAAAGACAAAGAAAAATTATTGAAAGCAGCAAGGGAAAAACGACAAATAACATACAAGGGAACTCCTATAAGGTTAACAGATGATTTCTCAGCAGAAACTCTACAAGCCAGAAGGGAATGGCATGATATACTTAATGTGATGAAAGGGAAGAACCTACAACCAAGATTACTCTACCCAGCAAGGATCTCATTCAGCTTTGATGGACAAATCAAAAGCTTTACAGACAAGCAAAAGCTAAGACAATTCAGCACCACCAAACCAGCTCTGCAACAAATGCTAAAGGAACTTCTCTAAGTGGAAAACACAAGAGAAGAAAAGGACTTACAAAAACAAACACAAAACAATTAAGAAAATGGTCATAGGAACATACATATCGATAATTACCTTAAACGTGAATGGATTCAAAGCTCCAACCAAAAGACACAGGCTTGCTGAATGGATACAAAAACAAAACCCAAATATATGTTGTCTACAAGAGATGCATTTCAGACCTAGGCACACATTCAGACTGAAAGTGAAGGAATAGAAAAAGATATTCCATGCAAATGGAAACCAAAAGAAAGCTGGAGTAGCAATACTCATATCAGATAAAATAGACTTTAAAATAAAGAATGTTACAAGAGACAAGGAAAGACACTACATAATGATTAAGGGATCAATCCAAGAAGAAGATATAACAATTACAAATATATATGCACCCAACATAGGAGCACCTCAATACATAAGGCAACTGCTAACAGCTGTAAAAGAGGAAATCGACAGTAACACAATAATAGTGGGGGACTTTAACACCTCACTTACACCAATGGACAGATCATCCAAAATGAAAATTAATAAGGAAACAGAAGCTTTAAATGACACAATAGACCAGATAGATTTAATTGATATTTAGAGGACATTCCATCCCCAAACAGCAGGTTACACTTTCTTCTCAAGTGCACATGTAACATTCTCCAGGATAGATGACATCTTCGGTCACAATTCAAGCCTCAGTAAACTTAAGAAAATTGAAATCATATCAAGCATCTTTTCTGACAAAATGCCATGAGATTAGAAATCATTACAGGGAGAAAAACTTAAAAAACACAAACACATGGAGGCTAAACAATACGTTACTAAATAACCAAGAGATCACAGAAGAAATCAAAGAGGAAATCAAAAATTACCTAGAGACAAATGACAATGAAAACACGACAATCTAAAACCTATGGGATGCAGCAAAAGCAGTTCTAAGAGTCAAGTTTATAGCTATACAAGCCTACCTCAAGAAATAAGAAAAATCTCAAATAAACAATCTAACCTTACACTTAAAGAAACTAGAGAAAGAAGAACAAACAAAACCCAAAGTTATCAGAAGGAAAGAAATCATAAAGATCAGAGCAGAAATAAATGAAATAGAAACTAAGAAAGCAATAGCAAAGATCAGTAAAACTAAAAGTTGGTTCTTTGAGAAGATAAACAAAATTGATAAACCATTAGCCAGACCCATCACAAAAAAGAGAGAGAGGCCTCAAATCAATAAAATTAGAAATAAAAACGGAGAAGTTACAACAGACATTGCAGAAATAAAAAGCATCCTAAGAGACTACTACAAGCAATTCTATGCCAATAAAATGGACAATTTGGAAGAAATGGACAAATTCCTAGAAAGGTATAACCTTCCAAGACTGAACAAGGAAGAAACAGAAAATATGACCACAACAATCACAAGTAATGAAATTGAAACTGTGATTAAAAATCTTCCAACAAACAAAAGTCCAGAACCAGATGGCTTAACAGGTGAATTCTATCAAACATTTAGAGAAGAGCTAACACCCATCCTTCTCAAACTCTTCCAAAAAATTGCGGAGGAAGGAACACTCCCAAACTCATTCTATGAGGCCACCATCACCCTGATACCAAAACCAGAAAAAGATACTACAAAAAAAGAAAATTACACACCAATATCTCTGATGAATATAGATGCAAAAATTCTCAACAAAATACTAGCAAACAGAATCCAACAACACATTAAAAGGATCATACACCATGATCAAGTGGGATTTATCCCAGGGATGCAAGGATTCTTCAATATATGCAAATCGATCAATGTGATACACCATATTAACAAATAGAAGAATAAAAACCATATGATCATCCCAATAGATGCAGAAAAAGCTTTTGACAAAATTCAACACCAATTTATGATAAAAAAACTCTCCCAAAAGTGGGCATAGAGGGAACCTACCTCAACATAATAAAGGCCATATATGACAAACCCACAGCAAACATCATTCTCAATGGTGAAAAACTGAAAGCATTTCCTCTAAGATCAGGAACAAGACAAGGATGTCCACTCTCACCACTGTTATTCAACATAGTTTTGGAAGTCCTAGCCACAGCAATCAGAGAAGAAAAATAAATAAAAGGAACACAAATTGGAAAAGAAGAAGTAAAACTGTCCCTGTTTGCAGATGACATGATACTATGCATAGAGAATCCTAAAGATGCCACCAGAAGAGTACTAGAGCTAATCAATGAATTTGGTAAAGTTGCAGGATACAAAATTAATGCACAGAAATCTCTTGCATTCCTATACACTAATGATGAAAAATCTGAAAGAGAAATTAAGGAAACACTCCGATTTACCATTGGAACAAAAAGAATAAAATACCTAGGAATAAACCTACCTAGGGAGACAAAAGACCTGTATGCAGAAAACTATAAGACACTGATGAAAGAAATTAAAGATGACACCAACAGATGTAGAGATATATCATGTTCCTGGATTGGAAGAATCAATATTGTGAAAATGACTGTGCTACCCAAAGCAATCTACAGATTCAATGCAATCCCTATCAAATTACCAATGGCATTTTTTACAGAACTAGAACAAAAAATCTTGAAATTTGTATGGAGACACAAAAGATCCCAAATAGCCAAAGCAGTCTTGAGGAAAAAAACGGAGCTGGAGGAATCAAACTCCCTTACTTCAGACTATACTACAAAGCTACAGTAATCAAGACAATATGGTACTGGCACAAAAACAGAAATATAGATCAATGGAACAGGATAGAAAGCCCAGAACTAAACCCACGCACCTAGGGTCAACTCATCTATGACAAAGGAGGCAAGGATATACAATGGAGAAAAAACGGTCTCTTCAATAAGTGGTGCTGGGAAAACTGGACAGCTACCTGTAAAAGGATGAAATTAGAACACTCCCTAACACCATACACAAAAATAAAGTCAAAATGGATTAGAGACCTAAATGTAAGACAGGACATTATAAAACTCTTAGAGGAAAACATAGGCAGAACACTCTATGACATAAATCACAGCAAGATCTTTTTTTTTTTTTTCTTTTGCGGTACGCGGGCCTCTCACCGCTGTGGCCTCTCCCACTGCAGAGCAACAGGCTCCAGACACGCAGGCCCAGCGGCCATGGCTTACGGGCACAGCCGCTCCACGGCATGAGGGATCCTCTCGGACCTGGGCACGAACCGCCATCTCCTGCATCGGCAGGCGGACCCCCAACCCCTGCGCCACCAGGGAAACCCAGCAAGATCTTTTTTGATCCACTTCCTAGAGTAATGGAAATAGAAACAAAAATAAACAAATGGGACTTAATGAAACTTCAAAGCTTTTGCACAGCAAAGGAAACCATAAACAAGACGAAAAGACAACCCTCAGAATGGGAGAAAATATTTGCCAATGAAGCAACAGACAAAGGATTAATATCCAAAATATATAAACAGCTCATACAGCTCAATATTAAGAAAACAAACAACCCAGTCCAAAAATGGGCAGAAGACCTATACAGACATTTCTCCAAAGAAGACATACAGATGGCCAAGAAGCACATGAATAGCTGCTCAACATCACTGATTATTAGAGAAATGCAAATCAAAACTATAATGAGGTATCACCTCACACCAGTTAGAATGGGCATCATCAGAAAATCTACAAACAACAAATGCTGGAGAGGGTGTGGAGAAAAGGGAACCCTCTTGCCCTGTTGGTGGGAATGTAAATTGCTATGGCCACTATGGAGAACAGTATGGAGGTTCCTTAAAAAACTAAAAATAGAATTACCATATGATCCAGCAATCCCACAACTGGGCATATACCCAGAGAAAAGCATAATTCAAAAAGACACATGCACCCCAATGTTCTTTGCAGCACTATTTACAATAGCCAGATCATGGAAGCAACCTAAATGGCCATTGACAGATGAATGTATAAAGAAGATGTGGTACATATATGCAATGGAATATTACTCAGCCATAAAAAGGAACGAAACTGGGTCATTTGTAGAGACGTGGATGAATCTAGAGACTGTCATACAGAGTGAAGTAAGTCAGAAAGAGAAAAACAAATACCATATATTAACACATATATGTGGAACCTAGAAAAATGGTAGATGAACCGGTTTGCAGGGCAGAAATAGAGACGCAGATGTAGAGAACAAACGTATGGACACCAAGGGGGGAAAGCCACAGCGGGGTGGGGGGGTTGGTGTGATGAATTGGGCATTTGGGATTGACATGTATACACTGATGTGTATAAGATTGATGACTAATAAGAAACTGCTGTATAAAAAAATAAATTAAATAAAAATTAAAAAAAAAAAAAGAGGGCTTCCCTGGTGGCGCAGTGGTTGAGAGTCCACCTGACAATGCAGGGGACACAGGTTCGTGCCCCGGTCTGGGAAGATCCCACATGCCGTGGAGCGCCTGGGCCCGTGAGCCATGGCCGCTGAGCCTGCATGTCCAGAGCCTGTGCTCCGCAAAGGGAGAGGGCATAACAGTGAGAGGCCTGTGTACTGCAAAAAAAAAAAGACATAGAGTGGCTGAACGAATTTAAAAAAAAAATTTAACCATATGATTCCTACAAAAGATTCACTTCAGCTTTACAGACACACATAGACTGAAAGTGAAGCGATGGAAAAATATATTCCATGTAAATAAAAATAGAGAGGAGAGGTAGCTACACTTACATCTGACAAAATAGACTTTAAGCTAAAACTGTAACAAGAGGCAAATAAGATCACTATACAGTTATAAAGGGGTCAAGTCATCAAGAGGATATAACAATTATAAATATTTATGCACCCACATCAAAGCACCTAAATGTATAAAGCAAATATTAACAGATCTGAAAGGAGAAATAGATAACAATACAATAATATAGGGAACTTCAGTATCCCACTTTTGTCAATGGATAGATTATCCAGACAGAAAATCAATAAGGAAACACTGGACTTAAACTACACACTAAACTAACAGTCATATACAGAACATTTCATCCAACAGCAGCAGAATACACATTCCTCTCAAGTGTACATGGAACATTTTCCAGGATAGATCATGTGTTAAGCCACAAAATAAGTGTTAATATATTTAAGAAGACTGAAATCATATCAAGCATCTTTTCCAGCCACAATGGTACAAAACTAGAAATGAATTAAAAGAAGAAAACTGAAAAATTCACAAATATGTGCAGATTAAACAACATGCTCCTGAGCAACCAATAGGACAAAGAAGAAATCAAAAGGAAAATTAAGACAAATGAATATAGAAATAGATAACATACCAAAACTTAAAGCAGTTTTTTTTTATATAATAGTGTTTATTTATTTTTACTTGCTGACAGTTTTGCTTTATTTATTTATTTATCTATGGCTGTGTTGGGTCTTCGTTTCTGTGCGAGGGCTTTCTCTAGTTGTGGCAAGCAGGGGCCACTCTTCATTGCGGTGCGCGGGCCTCTCACTATTGCGGCGTCCCTTGTGGAGCACAGGCTCCAGATGCGCAGGCTCAGTAATTGTGGCTCACGGGCCCAGTTGCTCCACAGCATGTGGGATCCTCCCAGACCAGGGCTCAAACCCGTGTCCCCTGCATTGGCAGGCAGATTCTCAACCACTGTGCCACCAGGGAAGCCCTAAAGCAGGTTTAAGAGGGAAGTTTACAGCAATAAATTCCTATGCTAAGAAAAAAATAAAGATCTCAAATAAACAACTTAACTTTACACCTCGAAGAACTAGAAAAAGAACAAACTAATCCAAAGTTAGCAGAGAGAAAGAAACAGCAAAGCAGAGTGTAAATAAATGAAAAAGAGACTAAAAAGACTAGAGAAAAAAATCCATGAAACTAAGAGCTGGTTCTTTGAAAAGATAAACAAAATTGACAGAGTTTAGCTAGACTAACTAAGAAAAACAGAAAAAATACTCAAATAGATAAAAATCAGAAATGAGACAGAAGGCATTACAACTGATAACACAGAAATAGTAAGGATCATAAGAAACTACTATGAACAATTACATGCCAACAACTAGATAACCTAGAAAATGAATAAATCCCTAAATGCATATAACCTATCAAAACTGACTCATAGGGCTTCCCTGGTGGCACAGTGGTTGAGAGTCCGCCTGCCGATGCAGGGGACACGGGTTCGTGCCCCAGTCCGGGAAGATCCCACGTGCCGCAGAGCAGGTAGGCCCGTGAGCCATGGCCGCTGAGCCTGCGCGTCCGGAGCCTGTGTTCCGCAACGGGAGAGGCCACAACAGTGAGAGGCCAGCGTACAGAGGAAAAAAAAAAAAAAAAAAAACTGACTCATAAAGAAACCAGAGACTTCCCTGTTGGTCCAGTGGCTAAGGCTCTGCACTCCCAATTCAGGGGGCCCGGGTTCGATCCCTAGTCAGGGAACCAGATCCCACATGCCACAGTGAAGTTCCCGCATGCCGCAACTAAGACCCGGCACAGCCAAATAAATAATAAATAAATAAATAAATATTTTTATAAAAAAAGAAATAGAAAATCTGAAATGATCAATTACTAGTAAGGAGATTGAATCAGTGTTTAAAACCCTCCCAACACAGGAAAAAACAGATGGCTGCAATGGTGAATTCTCCCAAACATTTAAAGAAGAATTAATACCAACCCTTCCCAGCTCTTCCAAGAAAACAGAAGAGAAGGGAACATTTCCCAGTCTCATTTTACAAGGTCAGCATTAGTTTGCTTTCAAAAGCCAGAGAAAGGCACTACAAAAAAGAAAATTATAGGCCAATGGCCCTTATGAACATAGATGCAAAAATCCTCAACAAAATATTAGCAAACCAAATTCAATAGTACATTGAAAGGGTCATTAAGTCAAATTCATAGAAACATAGAGTAGAATAATGATTTCCAGGATATGGGGCATTGGGGAAATAGGGAGAGGCTGATAAAAGTGTACAAGATTTCAGTTTTAAGATGATTAACGTCTGAGGATCTAATGTATAACATGGTGACTATAGTTGATAACACTATATTGTATAATTGAAATTTATGAAGAGAGTAGAATTTAAGTGTTCCCACCAAAAAGGAAAAAAAATAAATATATGAGGTGGGAATCCTTTCACAATGTATACCTCCATCAGTTCATCATGCTGTACACTTTAAATAAATTATAATTTTTTGTCAATTATACCTCAATAGAACTGAGAAAAAAAAAGAAAAAAGAAAACATCACCTCTTCATTATGCAGTTACCTTCTTCCAAGGAGCTGAAATCACTTGATTCCACACATTCAAAGCAAATGGCAAATACACCAGGCCATTTCTACATCCAAAAAGTCATGGCAGTAATTTGCAGAAAAGTCATCCAGATCATTGCAAGTTTTGATTGAGCCCATTATGTTGCTAACACTGTTTGAGCCTCTAGGAGTAATAAACAAAAAAAGAAAGAAGGATGAGGAAAAGGAATCGAAAGAGAAGTAGCATGTTCTCATCCTAAAGGAGCTTGTAACCCACTACTAGGGACCCCCTCAGAGCATTAGTTTGAAAATGAGGAAGTACCAGACTCTCAACTGGTCCCTCTGCCTCCACTTCTCACGTTCTCTGTCAATTTGCCATACAGCAATCTGAACCATCGCTTGAAAACCCAAATCAGAGCTTGTACTGTGAAACTGAAAATCTTCTCATAGCTTCCTATTTCACTTAGCAGGAAAAAAAGAAAAAGTACACTCTTCACCAAAGTACCACAAAGGCTTAGATGTCCTGAGGCCTGCCGACTTCTGAGACCCCATCTCCTACCGCACATCTTCACTTTCACTAGCCTCAGACACACTGGTCTTCTTTTCTATTCCTCAATCATCCAAGCTCTTACCTGCCTTCTGTCCTCTGTAGCGGCCAGTCCCTCCCCTGATACAGCTGGCTGCTTGTTTTCAGTAGGATCTTGCGTCCTGTGTTGCCCATTGAAAAAGCCTTCCGTGACCATCCAGCATCAGCCAGCCGCTCACCCCACCTGCCACATTCTCTGGCATGCGTTTTCTTCACAGCACTTTTCACCATCTGAAATTGCCATATTTTCTTGTGTCCTTATTTATTGCCTGTTTCCTCCTGCTAGAAAGTCAACTGTATGAAAATAAAAACCATGCCCGTGTTGTTGTTCACTATATATACTTGGCTTCAATATTTTTTTTTTCCTTTTTTTTTTTTTTTTTTTTTTTTTTGCTGTACATGGGCCTCTCGCTGTTGTGGCCTCTCCCGTCTTCCCGGACTGGGACACGAACCCGTGTCCCCTGCATCGGCAGGCGGACTCTCAACCACTGTGCCACCAGGGAAGCCCTTCAATATTTTTGAATGAAAGGTAGACAGAAAGGAACATGTCAGTGTTGACTATAGAGTCCAAGAAGACTCCAGGAACTCAAGGGGCCTCGAAGGACAGATAGCGGTAAACCACTCAGAATCTGATCAGGTTAATTCTCCTTCACTGTCTTTCCCACTAAAGCCTACATCCTTCAGCATCTGAAAAAGTCAAACAAGCAACCCAGAAAGCACATGCTAAATGCTTATTGAATAACTATTTTTAAACAATCCCACATGGTGTGTATCCCTTGAACAGAAGACAAGTGTTGGGTTCACAGAAGTTTTTCTAGTTCAGGCCAGCAGTGTCTCAGGTAGAAACTGCTCTATGTCTAGAGTAAAGACAAAATGAAACAGAGCTTCAGGTAACCCAAACTGGTGCTGATGTAAGAAGAAGAAGAAAAAAATCTACTCCAAGTGAGCTCCTTTCCCATCTCTAAGCCTCAAGCCTAACCTTACAAAAGTACATAGAATATGCAATCTTGTCAGCTTTTGTGACTTAAATACTGTAGTGTTTGCCTTAGACAAGTTTTTGGCTCCTATATCATGCTTTTATTTCTGGGAATGCTTAGCAAAGAAAAGAAATCTAAGGCTTAATGTCTCTCTCCATTAAATATCCATACTCCCAAAGTTTTAAATCATTACTACTTGGAATAATTGCAACCCGTTTCCATCCCACGGTCCCTGACACTATGTCATTTCAACCACAACCAGGTGGAATAACAAAGGGGATTACATGTTCATTTGGAATGAGATATGTGCAGAAAACCCCTTAAGAAGCAAAGATCCTTTTTCTATTCATGTCTTTAATAATAATGAACAAGAAAACAGAAGGGCAAATGGAAGAGCAGCAAGAAGCATTTATTAGATAGTTGTTTGGGAACTAAGGAGTTGACAGATCTTTCCCTGGTATGACAACAGGTCTTGAGCCTAGCGTTTGTCAGACTAAGACTGAAATTGCAATGCCCTTTTACTTGACGCATTATGTCCTGGAAAAAACTTCAAGGCCAAGGAAAAACTTGGTAAACAAGGAGAATGTGCTGCCTAAAATATATAAAACTGCCTCAAATCTTAGATTGCACAGCTATAGCAAATTAATTTGTATATGTGATAAAGAGTGTCACAGGGACTTCCCTGGTGGTCCAGTGGCTGAGACTCCTCGCTCCCAATGCAGGAGTCCCGGGTTTGATCCCTGGTCAGGGAACTAGATCCCACATGCCGCGACTAAGACCCAGCACAGCCAAATAAATAAACAAAATTTTTTTTTAAAAAAAGGGTGTCGGGTTTCCCTGGTGGCAAAGTGGTTAAGAATCTGCCTGCCAGTGCAAGGGACACAGGTTCGAGCCCTGGTCCGGAAAGATCCCACATGCCACGGAGCAACTAAGCCCATGAGCCACAACTACTGAGCCTGAGCTCTAGAGCCCGCAAGCCAAAACTACTGAGCTCACGTGCCACAACTACTGAAGCCTGCACGCCTAGAGCCTGTGCTCCACAACAAGAGAAGCCACGACAATAAGAAGTCCGCGCACTGCAATGAAGACCCAACATAGCCAAAAATTTTAAATTAATTTTTTTAAAAAACAGGTGTCACAAATACTTATGACATTATATTTTTTTTAACTTCTGGAAATCAAAAAGTACTCAAACACACACCCACACAAACACACGTATTTATGCTTTGGGGAGGGCACATGATTTGCCACATATGTGACAAAAGATTAAATCCTAATTATGTAAAACACAGTTTAAATTAATAAGAAAAAGACAACTGTCACAGTTATAATCGATAACTGAACAATATGAAAAAGAAATTGATAAAAAAAGAAACTCAAATATCCTGCTAACATTTATTCATTTTTTACTTATTCAATCAACAAATATTTATTGAGTACCAAGTATGTACCTGGTATTACACAAGACACCAGGTATACAGTGATGAGCAAAAAATGGCCCTGTTCTGAAAGAACTCATAGTATATTAAACCCAACTCATAACCAAAGATATTCAAATTAAAATGGTTTTTTATCTATTAAATGCCTTCAATTTACATTCTATAAATTCGGCAAGATACACTAAGAAGCTTAAATTTTTTCATATGCTTGTCTTGGTAATTCCATACCTGAGCATTTTTCCTAACGGACTAATCAGAAAGATGCAAACAGACTTATGTATAACTATGTTAATTGTGCTATTTATAATAGTGGAATCTGGGAACCCCCTTAATGTTCAGCAATTAGTAATGTTTTCTAGAAATTTTTAGTGTCAATAGAAAATTCTGACGAAAAAAGTGTGGCTGAAAAAATCATGATACAAAACTGGAGATACCGATAGCATGATATTGATGCGTGAATACATGCATATTCTACATGCTCTAAAGTATTCGTCTAATACTAAAGGAAAAAAAGGTTTTAAAGATAACCACCATGAATGCTTTTGACAACGATGCCATCTTGTAAGTTGTTTGCCAAATAAGCCGTCTAAATACGCTCTTTTCAATGCTCACAATCTGAATATATTTTGGAGCATACTGGTGTTACCGACCACGGCACTTGGCCCTCCCGAATCAATACAAATTGACTAGAGGCCAGACAAGAAATTCAGGCAAGGCTTTATTGGGGCCCCTGCTGCAGCAGCGGAGAGTGAGAACAAACAACAGGTTCCCTTGCTTGGTTGCTCCTGGAGCGGCGCAATCTTGTTCTTTATATGGGGTGAGGATAGGGGTGTGTCCAGGGGTCCTGCTGGAGGGGTGGCTTAGATG